TAGCTACAGCACCAAATGCCGTGGGCAGTCCCGTATGAAACCGTGAGGGGAAGAGACTGGTGACAGGGAGCAGAGGAGTGAGCTGGGTGGTGCAGATGATGGCAGGGGTCTGCAGCACGGACACATCTGCTGGAAGTGGTTTACCAAAATGTGAAGTGTCAGAGCAATAAATGTGACTCTCGCTGCCTGGACAGGGCCTGGCACTGTGAGACACCGTTTAGAGGAGCTGCCTTCCTTCCCCCTGCACTTGCAAAGGGACTCGCTAAGAGGGAAGGCCCAAAAATGTAAGTGTGGCTCATCACAGGACAGAGGATGGCGAGCGGGAGAGCCTTACCCAGCATGTGAGAGGTGGAGCTCTGCAGTGCTTGCTCCCCAATCTTCTCAATTGCCTTGAAGTACACTTCAGCCGCTTTGGATAATGCTGGGAGGAGAGGGGAGGTAAGGATCTGGCCTGCCTTCCCATCACCAGCCCCAGCAAGCGGCACACGGGACAGCCACCCCCTGGTACGTCGCCTATAGGCAAGGGCACCCCATCCCCAAGGGCACCCCATCCCCGTCTGTGCCTAGTAACCACTGTGGATCCTGGAGTGGGAGGAAAGGGAGTCAGAGCAGCCAAGGACATGCCATGGGGGACCAGCACCCATCCCTCCCATGCACAGCAGACACCCAGGATGGGTGCAGCAGCACGATGTGGGACCCCACTCACTGTGGAAGGCACGCAGGTAGTTGTTCCCCAGGTACACCAGGTTCTCCAGCGCCGGGTTGAACTGCTCCAGGATACTCTGTGGCCAGGCAGAAGCACGTTAACGCCCGTCTTCCTCGCACCCCAGGTCGATGCCCTCCCGCTGCGGTTCGGCTGGGTGCAGCAGGGACCCAGAGGGCTCCCCCAGCCACGACGCCGAAGGGCACAGTGATGTACAGCCGTGCACAAAGTCAGCTCCCTGCACCGGAGCTAGCGGGGAGCTCCGGCTGCCCCGAGTCCCCTCCAGCCAGCCGGGAGAGGAGCAGTGCCAGAGGGCAAGGCAGCTTGCTGGAGAGCCTGGTGGTCACCTGCAGATGCCTTTGCCCAAGGCCCTGCACCCGCTGCAAGCAGGGGAGTAACTGCAGGGGATCTGAGCAGCCTTTCCCCTCCGCCCTGAGCCTGCTGGGGCGAGGGCCACCACCGGTGATCCTGGCACAGACACGACTTTCTCCAGGATTTGGTGCAGTGCCGGAGGCAGCGGCTTGCTAAGAGAAGGGATGGGCTGCTTCAGACCAGCCCCTCCGCTCTTACCTGCTGCACGGATAAAAGGTGTTTATTGCCTACAGCAGAGATGCCCAGAGGCTGGAATAAGCAATTCCCCCTTCTCTCAGCCCTCACCACCTTGGTGCAGCACCGTAGGGAAGCGTTGGTGAGATTGGCCTGTTCTTTCCAGCGGAAGGGGAAAACAGCCAGGCACGTCACCCTTCATGAACGTGCTCCGTGTCCAAACCCCTCAGGTTGCCCAGTTCCTTCCTGGATCTGCATGTAGACACACACCTCCCTCCCCTCCTTGCCAGATGCCGGCTCGCAAACCCAACCCAGTGCCCACCAGTTCAGCCCAGCGCCCACCAGTTCAGCCCAGGGAGGCATCCGGCCCCCGGCTGCCCGCCCTTCAAGGGAGCCTTCAGCGAAAAACAGCTCTTCTCCTCCCACCCGCACGTAGCAGCCTCTGGCATCGGCGCTCACCTTATAGATGGAGATGGTGGATCTGTAGGACAGCTCCATCTCCAGAGCCTTTTCCCTCTCCCACGGAGATGCAAGTAGCAAAGGAGAGCCCGGAGGACTCTGCTTCTGCCCAGCCAGCTGGATGGAAAGAGCCTGGCACCGGCAAGGCAGGGGAGCAGGAGGACACAGGCTGGTACAAAGGGAACAGAGCGCTGCTGGGGTTTAATAATTCACCAGCCAAGAGGCTGGAACTTGATCTCTGGAAGTAACCGGACTCTGGGGAGAGAGGAATCCTGCGACAGCCAGCAAGGGCATGTGACCGCCCGCTTGAATTATTGATTGCCAGCTCGGTGCCCAGCTCTCCCTGCCCTGACACCTGCGGAGC